CCTTGAAAAGACATAGCGTTGGTATATGTTTGAAATTGCTAGAGGCAGAGGACAGCTAGTCACGGTGATGGCCGCCAGTTTTGGATGACGAGAAGAATAGGAACAAGTAAATTTGACGAGGGGAAAGATAATCTTGAGTCGACCAAAAAAAAAAAGGGGTTCGTATATCCATATTTTGTGATAGAGTATCCAAGGATGATATAGATCGAGGTGGTAAAGGAAGACGAGTCACCAAGCCTATAACAAGCGTTAGTATAACTCGTAGATATGAGGCATGGTTGAAACAATGGTTGTGGATATCTTTTGATAATAAGAACTGGTTGGACGCTTGATATGATAGGTTGCAAACGACAGGTGAAAATTTTGGATAGGCCTAGAAATAGAGGAAACTCTGTCAATTTTTTTGAAAATTTGAAGAGTTAGTCGGATTTTCGATACCTTAAGGATTTAATAGTTAAGGAAAGCTTGGAGATTAAGCTTTTGGACTTAAGTACGACAAAAGGAATTACATTCGAGGATAAATATTTCTAAGTGGGGGAGAATGTGAAGCCCGTGAAATTTTATATTTAGGTTGGGCTAATTTCAAACTTAAGAATGCAATCTAAATAAACCTGAGCTACATGAGATTACTTAAGTGGAAAAAAGATAGTAAAATGCATTGGAGATAACTATTTCATTAATGGTGAGTGCCGAGTTAATTGGGAATAAAAAGAAGTCATGAAGAACACGTGAGAAATATTAATCCTCAAAGGATAAATGCTGGAATAAACTGCAACGAAAAACATAGTTAGCAAAACAAAAGACGCAAAATGATGAAAAGGGGAGGATCTGGAGGCAATGGATTTCATTGACTTCAAAGTCACCAACCTCAATTGAATAATATTAATTAATAAATAAGTGAATGGTTGAATTAAATTACATGAGGATACTTTCATATAATATGGGTATAATGGAATTAGTGGTTGGTGTTTTAGGTATACAAAAAGAGTCATGAGATTTGATTGGAAGAATATTGGCAAGGAATCAAAGGATAAGATGATAAGCTTCAGAGGATGGACGTTGGCTTGGATGCGTCGCATCCCATCGCTCCAATGTTCCCAGCTGCCAAGGACAAAAGCAGTGACTCCTGGCCAAAGTGCCAATCTTCGCGTCCAAAACTTTAAGCAAAAAACAAGCAGTAGTTGTTGCTTTTTAAGGCATTATAGGAAGGGATTCTTTTATTATTTTGAGGCTTGGTTTTTGAAGGTCTAGAGAGAGAAGAGAGCTCTCCACAATTGATGTCCTCTTGAGGTAAGAATTAAATGTATTTTTGGTAGATTTGATTCTTAAATTACATCTTCTAACTCTCCACCTACATGGAATTCATAGATTTTTTCAAGAAAATCCTAAGAACATCTCAATAACTCAAATCTTGAAAATTTTAGGGTTTGACAAAGAGGTAACCCCTTCATTTCAATCTTATATATTATACTCCATGGACATGGTAGAGTATATTTATGAAGGAAGATTTATATTTAAGCCTCTATTGATGAAACCCTATAAAGCTAGTCTTGAAATTGGAAAGTTTATTGGTAGAGATGATGAATGGTGTTGGGTTTTGTTTGACCTATGTCGTTTTGAGATTCTAATGGAATAACTAGATTCCATAAGATATTTAATGGAGAATTAGAGTTAAAACTCAAGGAATGATCTTCAAGTGGTGAAATAAGGATTTTGTGAAACTTGGACCTAAGTGTTAGACACTTAGTTGGTTTGGTTTGTATTGTTGTGACAGGCTATTGATACATGTGAGCTCATATATGTAGATTATGAAATATTGACGTCATTCAAATTTGGTTTTCAACCTCCTTATATTATGGTAAATTGAGTTGAGTTGGTTGAAGAATTTCTTTGAAGGTATTAAGGACTCAATGAAGTTACGGAATGTGAAGCTAAACCTTTTCTTTATTTTGGCATGATATCGTAACTACATATGTTTGATAACGAGACATAAAGAGAAGTTCATACTCCTAAATTTATGTACATTATCCTAGTCCCATAAGTTACAGTATTCTCTCTTATTGGGATTTTACTGTCATGTCAAGATGGGACCAAGCGAAACAATCTATGTTAACTATAAGAAATTAAATGAGTTTTTTCCTGATCACGGGAGTTAACCTCGTGCCCAGGTATACCTTTCAATCTAGTAAGTGTTCAATCAATATGACTTGCTCTAACTACTCAATCGTCGATTTGGTGGCATCGGTATCATCAGGAGCTATAAACGATCTAGGAACTATATAATCATCATCCTCGTCTACTCCTCACTCTTCTAGTTCGGTCGGGACCGATATCGCTGATTGTTATTTAATTTCTTCCTTCCTGGTCGGCTTTGTGTTCCTTGATGTCGAGACCACGGGCACCGGGATTAGCTCGTCGACTGTGAACATTTCCTTTGCGGTCGGCTGCTCTCCGTAGACTGTCTTGATTCCTCCCAGCGTAACTTCAGTGCATGGTGTAAGGTTAAGGATATCGCCCTCATGTTGTGAACCCAAGGCCTTCCGAATATGGCGTTGTACCTCATGTCCCCTTTGATCACGTAGAATTTTGTCTCTTGGATCGTTCTGGCGGTGTTCACTGGCAAAGTTATCTCCCTTTTAGTAGTTTCGCATGCCATGTTAAATCCGTTTAACACCCAGACCGCCGGCACTATTTTGTCTTGTAACTCCAACTGCTCTACGACCCTCGATCTGATGATATTGGCTGAGCTACTTGGATCAATCAACACACGTTTAACTCGAGATTTATTGATAAGTACAGATATTACCAGTGCATTATTATGAGGTTGTACGATTCCCTTGGCATCCTCGTCGTAGAACGAAATGGTTCCCTCCGGGACGTAATCTCAGGTGTGCTTTTCCTATCGTTTTGGCAAACCTACTCTCTGAGAAACAAGGGAACTATCTCTGTACGGGTGAAATCGGGATTAGCGCATACCCCGATTTCCCGGTGAATCAAACGAAGTAAGATTCTGAATATATGAGATCGAAATTGAAGCTGGGAACACTTTGTATCAAGGCCCGAACGGGGTACTCACCGTCGGGCCTTGATCACTCAGAAATTCTCGGAGGTGCCCGTTATTAACCAACCGGGAAACTTCTTCTCTCAATTGCCAGCAGTCCTCGGTCGTGTGGCCATGAGTGCTATGATACTTACACATCAGGTTACAATCTCTCTAGGTAGGGTCGGACTGCAATGGTCGAGGCCACTTGGTTACCTGGATGCGCCCAATGGCTGATACGATGCTGGCAGCATCAATGTTGAAGTTATACTCTAATAATCTTGGCGCTTCCCTTCCCCCGAGTGGTCTGTCGAAACCATTTTTGCTCATCAGACCTCGGCTATTGGGCCCTCGATCGCTTCTCTTTTCGTTCCTTGTGGGGTTATGCCCGGACCCATTTCCCCTTCGATCTGCGTTGTATGGTTGATACCTATCGTGGACCGGCCTTAGATTCATGGTCGACGACTCTTTTAGATGTGTCGTTGGCTCTGATGGATAAACGAACCCAGAAATGGCTTCGAGTTTGTCGTCCTCGACTCTGATTTTTGACTGGTACCTGTTGTGGACGTCGACCCAAGTTACCGCTGGGTACTCTACCAAATTATGTTTTAGCTGTTGCGAAGCCAAGGAGCTTCGAGGGTTAAGTCCTTGAGTGAATGCATGAACGGTCCAATCATCCGCAACTGGAGGCGGGTCCATCCGTTCCATCTAAAACCTTGACACGAACTCCCTAAGCATCTAGTTGACTTTTTGCTAAACCTTGAAAAGGACTGATTTTCTGGTCTCGACCTTGATGGCCCCGACATGAGCCTTCACAAAAGCATCTGCAAGCATAAAGAATGAGTCAAGGGAATTAGGGGGTAAGTCATCGTCTTCCAAGTCGTTGCCTTTGATGGCGCATGTGTAGGAAGTCACATGCTCATCCGGATCCGTGATTCCGTTATATTTTGGAATATCGGGCATACGAAACCTCTTCGGGATTGACTTTGGTGCCACACTCGGAGAGAAAGGCTTTTGGACAAATTTCTTGGAATCCGAGGGTGCTCCCGGGATTTTATCGAGGATGCTCCCGAGATTTGATAGACCCTAGAATTATATGTCCCCACCTTCTTGTCGTTGGACTCATTTTTCTTTTCACTTGATTCCGCTCGCTTCATTAATGCTTCAAGCATTTTCATTACTTCAGGACTGACCCCGGACTCAGCTTCACCTGGTCTGTCGGTGATATGCTCATTTCTTCAGGTGTTTTCCCGGGACGGTTCGTGCTCGACTCGACTGGGGGCACGACTTTGATTTTGCAGCTTTGCTATCGCCGCCTGTTGAGCCTGTAACATTTCGAAGATTAACCGTAGGCTAACCCCATCACCATCGCCTCCGGGCGCTTCTCGAGCCGTTGGTCGAGTTCCCCGTGACCGTTGTTCTCGGGATCGGTTGGCAGGTTGACATCGATGGCTACCTGCGAGTTAGCATCGACAGGGTCGGCAACTGGGACCCGTTGGGATCAGTAGGAGGCACCTTGTTGCTAGGCACCAGATTGTTGTTTTCGCCTTGATGGACAAATTCAGCCTCAATGTTCAAGAGAGCAGACTGAGAATTTGACATTTTTAAGCTGACTTGAAATTGAGACCTTAAACAACAAGCGTAAAATAGAGTGTGTTATGGAGATTTGTATCAAACCATCATTATTATCCTCAACCCCACGGTGGGCGCCAAACTGTTTACCCTTAAACGGATAATAATTCAATTTATACGCAATTTTAAGGATATGTGGATTGATTCAACACAAATAATCAAGAATGTTAGATAAATGAGTTAAATATAGAATGAATAATCAAACCAATTGTGATGTTACGTCCGGGTTCAGATTTAAGCTGAACAAAAGCCTTACCCTCTATCGGACCCTTAACTTGATGCCAATTGTGTATGAAGAACAACAATAAAATATGAACTTTGCAATGGCTAGAAAGCAGAAAAATGAACTTGTATTTCTTGGTCTGCGTCTTACAATGTGTCCTATTGAATAAAAAGCTTCCACTTTATATAGTAGGAAAGTTTCACCCCTAATACAATTCTAAAAAATGTAAAAAAATCCTTCTTTCTCATCAATTACTTATCCGCTACCGACATCGGGCGAGATCTGCGCCGTGATATCCGGTTGGGTGCGGATTTCACGGTCCTCTGTTAGTCGTGTGCAACTGTTTGTCAAGCTTTCCGAGGTCTTGGAGCTCGTTCTGGATTCGAGGAGTGTTGTCTTATCAGGCCCGGTGGCGAGTACCCCGTTCGGGCCTTGATACAAGAGCTCCTAGCTTCGATTTCGATCTCATATATTCGTACTCTTACTTCATTTGATTCACCGGGAAATCGGGATGTCCGCTAACCCCTATTTTACCCATACACAGAGATATTATATATTATCGTGAATAAAAAAAAAAGATATTATGTATAATCGGATGGACGGTCACGAATATCCAAATTTTCAGACATTGAATTTCAGAAGAAAGATTGGAATGTGAGAAAAGAGAACAACTACACCTATGTTATTCTTATTGTTAAGATTAAGTTAAAGCCTTCAGATTTTATCTCGACGAGTATGCATGCTCTACAGAAAGTACGGGCGATAACTTGGAGGAAAAATCACTAGAAATGGTCACGTCTTGGATCACCCCAAGTAGTTTAGGTTTCAAACAAGATAGGCTTTTGATTCACCAATTCGCTCAATATTTCAGGACGATCATCAACGAAAAAATAAGGAGTTCAGTGTACTTTTTTGGACAAGTTTATGGTGCAATTTAAGCATTTTTAAAGAAAATATTTATAGTTTCTTAACTATTCTTTTAATTGTTTCTGTTCTGTGATCTGAAAGAGAGTCCGTATATGGATAATTTAAAATTATCCTCATCCAATATGAATTACAATCACTTTACTCCTTATTAGAGAAGATAAATAGGCAGAGAGAGTTAAACTTGAAGGTAAAAATAGGTTAATGCAAAACGGAGCATTACCCAATCCGTTCAAAGTTTATTGAGGTCAAAATAATTTAGTTTAAGACTACTTAAATGACAGGTCATAATCTAATAACCCACTTACGATAAATGTACCTCTTGAAAAGCTTACCTTATTATTAGAAAAAGATTTGGAAAAAAATGTCAAAACTTACGCATTTTCCTTAAATTATTAGCTTGAATTTTATTTGCATTATTTCCAATCGCGATATTTATTTTGTTGAAATGGAGTTGCATTTTAACTCGTTGAATTATACAATTTGAGACAATTGGGATTATTTTATTTGACCAATAATTTGATGAGTTACTTTTGGATCAAATGAATGAACAAGATTAAAAGCACAATTAAATTTGGCCGAGTTAGACATGTTGCTAATTTAAAAATGGGTGCTCCATCCTATGGGTGTCAATGGATATTCGAAAACCGAATAAATCGATCAAACCGTACCGCACCGATTTTATGTTTCTTTTTAAGAAACCATAAGTTTTTTTATATAAATTTATAACCACACCGATAATTAGGGTAGGTTTTTTATTTTATAAAAATAAACCGAAAAAATTCCGAAACGTACCGAATAAATTTTACATGTGAAAAATATATTTATCTAGTAAGTTTAAAAATAATAATGCATTAAAATTTTCTTTGGGCCTTGGAATTATGCAAACTATTACAAAACCAACAAGTAATTAAACTCAAAATACTAATTCCTAAAACCTATTATTCTACATTACTTAAACTAAGTTATTTCAAGTATCTTTATTAGCAAGACACAAAGTATTCTAGCGATAATGAGTAGCAAACTACAATGCATTGAATATGTTTCCTTTCATATAATTTAGATTTATCTTTTTGAATATTTAATCTTGTATATACTTTATTCTTGAGTCACGTCTTGGTTAATATCTTTCTACTCGTGTGATTTATATTTTCTTTGCCTTTGTTTGATTTTTTTTACGTTGTTGTAGAATAGTTGATGGATCTATACCCTTGCCATCTTTCATTTTTTTTTTAATTTATCACCATTTAAACAGTAAAAATGTATAGAGGTTTTGCTAAGTCCTATAAAAGAACGTATGTTATTGCATTTTACTTCTAATGGTGAATTTTACATGATATTTAAAGAAAATATTAAAAATTAACCGAACCGTACCGATACCAATTAGAAACCGACATGATTGAGACGGTTTCGAAAAATTTAATTTTGGTTATACATAATAAAATAACCGAAAAATTGATATGGTACCAATTTTATAAAATAACCGGCCGAACCGAACCATTGTCACCCCTACTTCATCCCTTAGGGAGTAGGGACTAGCGGTGTACAAACCGAACCAGAAAATCGCACCAAACCGAAAAGTCAGACCAAACTGATTAAAAAATCCGATTAGGTTTGATTTGACTTGGTTTGGTATTGAGTAAAAAAAACTGAACAAAATCGACATATAAATATATAATTTTTATATATAATTTTAAGACTTCGTATAGAATTTTATTTAAAATATGTGTAGAAATATTTGAGATCCTCTCATGAGATATAATATTTATTAGAACTATAAAGTGCATTCATTTGTATTTACTTTAAATAATAGATTGTATCACTTTCTTATTATGTGTTATTGAAATGCTTCAATCATCTCTTTGTTCTTTCATATTCATATGTCAAGATTTATTATACTGTATGTTTTTTGAATTTGAAGTGGTATTTCGATAATCTAAAATCACATAGAACATATCATTATTTAGGTATCATATTGATTTTTATGTCTAATTATTAAATTTGGTTAACCCTAAAAGCGTACATCAATCAAAAATTATTAGTAGACAATTAAGAAAATAAACTATTATGTGTTACTAAAAATAATTCTTCCGTAAGATCACTTTAATAGATCATATGTTTGTTATTTTTTTTTAATTTTTAGTAAACATATTCACTTATCAAAATTTAATCTATAATTTTAATAATACAAAATTAAAATAATATTCATGTAACAAAAAAATCCGAAAAACTCGAAAAATCCGACAAAATTGAATCAATCCAAATCGATATAATTGGTTAGATTTGATTTTTAAAAAATCCAAACAAACCCGATCTATATATACCCCAGTACAGATCATATGTTTAAAAGGCCATATTGTTTATCCATCGCACATGGAACTTCGTCTATGCGTGCGTCGGATATAGAGTATATTGTGTAACCTCTCATCCGGTGCCACGTATAAGAAGCCAACTGAAGCTTCTCGAAAGGCAGTAAGTATTGCTCCGACTTTATTTCTATTTTTTAATTCAACTTTTTCGGAAGCTGTCCGTATAACGTAGCTTCTGGTTGTTTCTTTTTCTGTCGCTTTTTTCTTTTTATATTTTCCCCTTACCACCATTTCCTCCTTTCCTGAACTTTCCAACTCTTTCCATCTCTTATCTGTAACAAACATAGTTCCTACCCCCCCCCCCCCC